TGCGCCCAGAGCCTTTGTACTGAGCTATATCCCAGCCTTTTTTGTTTTTTGTCCTTTTTTTGGTGTTTTTTTGGTACCAGGGATCGAATTTGGGACCTTACGCTTGTGAGGCAGGCACCAGAACCACTGAGCTAAATCCCCGGCCCCCCTTTTCTGTTTTTTATTTTGAGATCATCTTGCTAAGTTGCCCAGGCTGAGCTTAAATTTGCTCTTGCCTCCTAGAGTGCTGGGATTATAAGTGTATCCCACTGCCGCTATGCCTGGCTTATAGTTTTTAACTTTTACATTTAGGTCTTTGGTGTATTTTGAGTTCATTTTTTCATATGATATGTGGTAAGGATGGATTAAATATTTAAATATAAAAAACAAAACCATAAAAGTACTAGAGGAAAACATGAGTAAATATTTAATCTTTGGGTAGATTTTCTGTGCATGGTATCAAGGCAGAAAGCATGAAGAAAAATAAACAGATGAATTTTAAAATTTTATTTTATGTATTTATTTTGCAGAACTGGGGAGCGAACCCAGAGCCTCTGTACTTAACTACTGAGCTATATCCCCAGCCCTTCACGCCCTTGTTTAAATTTTAAGGCAAGGTCTCGTAAGTTGCAAAATTGCCCAGGCTGGCCTTGAGCTTAAGCTCCTCCTGCCTTTGCCTCCCAGAATGCTGGGATTACAGGAATATACTGCATTGGCCGGCAGAAAATTTTAAATATTCACAAGGATAGAAGGTAAAGTCTTCAGGATAGAATATTTGCATGAATGCAGTTGTTTAAAATATGGCTATGTGATTTTTAAATCCTAAATCTAGCATAATATTGGAAAGTAAAACTACATCTAAACTTTCTTATAGCTGATTACAAAGACTTGGTTCTTAAGATGTAAATATTTTTCACGAGGATTTTTTGTTACTGTCATTCAGGGAGTAAACTCTAGAAATGCTCGAAGACCTCCACCTAGTTCTGTAAATACAGGAGGTATCACAGAAATCATGGCCGAAGGAGGTGAATTAGAGTTTGTTAAAAGGATCATCCACGACAGTTTACAACTTAAAAAAAGATTACGGTAAGTTGATTGCTCCAGCATAGTAATATTTGCTCTTTCTGCAATTCCTATAAAAGTATGTAACTCAGAGGAAAAGTAATCACTAAAGTCTGAAGAATAAAGAGATAAAAAATTGAAAAGCTAGTGGATCCTACCTTCTGGAAAGACCTATTTCTGAGGATGTTCTTGGGCATTTAATTGATGTGTGTTTTCTGTAGTCATTTATACTACACAGATAGAAAGGATGAAAATATCATATGATTATATTGCTCCCATTAGTTTGGCCCTGTGATGGAACAAAACTGACTCAAATATGGCTTTTAATTAGAAAACAGATGGGTTCAAATCTGTCCTATGAACCAGAATTAATTTGTTGCCTAGTCCTTGAAGCAATTTATGTTCTTGGAATCAGTCCCCCAAACAGTGACAGATGTGAGGACCCTGAGCTGTCAAGAGCTTAATGAAGGGAAACCGAGATCACTAACCAGTTCCAGTGCAGGGTTAAAGCTATTCCTTTTAGAAAGCTAATTATTTCAGACAACACACCTTTTATTAAGTGGCATTGAGTACTCGAAAGAAGCTGCTTGTCTTGCTGAACTTCACACTCAGCCACATGTTGTTGATATGATGAATAATGTGGTAGTTCAAAGCTAAAAGATCTTTCAACCCTCTGATTTAGCTGTGGAAAGGTTTTTTGTTTTTCCTTCAGTGCTGACAATCACACTACCACAAACCTATTCCCAGCCCTATCTTAATAGTTCTTTAAGTGTTATAGTATTATGTATATTCACACTGGTATACAACCCAATCTGCAGGACTCTTCATTATCTAAAATTGTAACTTCCTATCTATTAAACAACTCTTCATTCCTCCCTTCCCCCAGCCCTTGGCCATCCCATTATGCTCTATCTCTTACGAATTTGACTACTCTAGGTACTGCATATATGTGGAATCATACAATATTTGTCCTTTTATGAGTAGCTTATTTTACTTAGCATAGAATCATAGTATTTTAAGATTCTGTGGGCATGGTGGCACACACCTGTAATCACAGCACTGGGGAGACTGAGACAGGAGAATCGCCACAAGTTCAAGGCCAACCTGAACTCCATAGCAAGACTCTGTCTGGGAAAAAAACAAAAACCTAAAAAAATAAGATTCATTCTTGTCATAGTATGTGTAAGAATTTTCTTCCTTTTTAAAGTGAATATTAATTTTCATTATATGTATACATCACATCTTGTTTATTCAGTCATCCATTGCTGGACACGTAGGTTAGTTCTACCCATTGGCTATTGTGAATAAGGCTCTATAAACATGGGTATACAGATACCTCTTCAGGAAGTTGGGCGTGGTAGCACATGCCTTATAATCCTAGCACTTGAGAAGCTGAGGCAGGAGGATAGCCACAAATTCGAACCCAGCCTGGGCTATATAGCAAGACTGTCTCAAAAACAAGAATCAAGGGCTGGGGGATTTAGTTCAGTAGTTCTGCCACCTGCCTTGCAGGTGCAAGGTCCCAAGTTTGATCCCTGGTACCAAAAAAAACAAAAACAAAAAACAAGAATCAAAACAAAGCAAATATCTCTTCAAACCCTGTTTTCATTTCTTCTGGATACCAGAAGTAGAATTGCTGGATAGAAAAGAATTTTTTTTCCCTTTCCTTTTGGATCATAGGTGTTTAAAACTGCTTATTTTTGTTAAAGACTGATTTCCAAATTAAAAGTATCTGGATTTGTTAATATGAGTTTATTTAAATGTTTATGGAAAAGCAGTTTGATTATTTCCTGATCTGCCTCTCAGAGAAACGCTACACATTGCTGCAGCCAAAGGTTAATACATTTTTCCTTTAATTTCTCCAAAGATATATTACAGTATGATGAATAAAGAGATTTAAGGAATACTGGGTACTGAGGAAAGTCTAAGTAAAATAAAGGAAGCAAAGAGCACTGAAAAGAGGCAATCTGACTGTGTGGCTATTTCATTATCTGTTGGCTTTGAGGGGACCAACCAGGAAAATGGATACTGCTCTCCTTGGGTACAGTATTCTTGAGGTTTTTAAAGAGTAAATTTCTATTATTTCCAAAGTTCCGTTTGAACTACAGAAATGAGCTTCAAAGGACCAACAGGCCGGGGATTTAGCTCAGTGGTTCCGGTGCTTGCCTCGAAGGTGCAAGGTCCCGAGTTCAGTCCCCGGTACCAAAAAACCAAAAACAAAAAAAACAAAGGACCAACATTCTGGGCTGGGGATGTAGTTCAGTGGTGGAGCATTTGCACAGCATGTGTAAGACCCTGGGTTTGTCTGATCACCACCACCACCATGACCACCACCCCCAGGAAGAAAAAAGATAAACACTATGTTGAAAGATAGAAGTTGATTCAGTATGTTTCAAATCTGTCTGCGCCCGGCTCTGTGGCAGCCACCAAATTAAATAAAAGGCATAAGTTTGTTAGGAAGAGTAAATTGCAAGAACCCATCATGTCTGTGGATAATAGGCCATTTCAAGCTTGTATCATGTAGAGGAAACATTACCCAGTTATGATTTATTTAAAAACAGGGCTGAAAAAAAAAACAAGGCTCAGCTGTCCGCTCTGTTAGAACTCAGATTGAGAGGGAAAATAAAGGAAGGGAAGAAATGAAGTGATTTTTATCGAAAACAGAATAGAGCAATATTTTGCAAAATACTGTAGCTCACAAATACTGTTTTCAGTTTCAGATCCTATTGTGACTACTTATATTTGTTCATATTATCAGTTTATGTCTTCATTTATGATTTGTTTTTTTTTTTTTTGGTACCGGGGATCGAACTTGGGTCCTTGCGCTTGCACAGCAGGCGGCGAAACCACTGAGCTAAATCCCCGGCCCCCTCATTTATGTTTTTAATAGTTGACATCATCATGTTTATACCACTGTGTGACTCAAATTTTAGAGTACTGTGCAAGCTGCATATTGTAAAACTCTTAAGAAAATAAGAGATTAAACTGGGTGTGGTGATGCGCACCTGTAATCCCAGCATGCAGGAGGCTAAGGCTGGAGGATCCCTGTGAGTTTGAGGCCAGCCTGCAATATAGCTAGACCCCGTCTCAAACCAAAATACATACATGCACACACACACACACACACACACACACACACACACAATACTAAAAACAAGTATCTTAACCTTAGCATATCTTTTTTGTCCCTGAAGAAGTACAGAAACTAAGCAGAGTAGGTTAAATGTGTCGGGCTGATCTCAGGATAACACTGAAAGTACCTCTCTACCTCGCTAAGATGTATGTCTCATCTAAATCATTCTCAGCAACAGTTGTAGTTGGTTTTGTATCTTTTAATTTTACAGCTAGGAGGAAAAGACCCATCCTCTTATTTTTACTAGTTAAGAACCTAGAACCTAGATCTCCTGAAGTCTAGTCCAATATCTGATACAGTTGAACTTCTAAAGAAGTAAACAGGCCTGCTGCGAAAGTGCAAGGACTCAAGTTTGAGTCCCGGTACCAAAAATAAAAAAATAAACAGACCTTTTATTGTTGATGAAGATTTACAGATGCTTGTCAACCTGTCTTTAGTGTTTTTATGCCTGTGACTTGAGCTTACTTAATAGCTTTTTTTTTTTTGGTACCGGGGATCGAACTCGGAACCTTGCACTTGTGAGGCAGGCACCTGAACTACTGAGCTAAATCCCTGGCCCAAATAGCATTTTCTTTTTAGAGACACACATCTGACCTTCTCTGTAAATTATCAGACTTTCTTTATCAACTTCTCTTGGCTTATTATTTGTTATTAAGTCTATAGCAGATGCTCTTTGGGAAGAGCATAAAATTATTTATAACTTTTTCAGAAGCCAGAGATGTATAGTTTACAAAGCACCAACTTGATGTTGGTTTCATCCACCCTTTCTCTTCTTTGCATTTTCCTTTCTGTACCCCTGCCCCCTGTCAAATGGTAGATACGTCTTTGATTTGGGCATAACCTACATATTTGGGGATGGGCAACAGATTTAATAATCTGGGCTTCTGGAATGTGATTCTTAGGTTTCAAACTTAGGTTTGAAATTTTAAGTTCTTTTTTTTTTTTTGGTACCAGGGATCGAACTCAGGTCCTTGCTCCTGTGCAGCAGGCAGCGAAACCACTGAGCT